ATTTTGACATTGTATTGTCGCAATGATAAGTTGTTGGTTAGTTTTGAATTAGTACCTTTTGCAATGATGATTTAGACATTATGCTGTAAGCTTTTCTTGTCAATTAGTAGGTTGTCTAGTTTGATATCATTATGACAAATATCATGATGATGTAGAAACTTCAATCCATTAGCAGTGCCCTCTAGGATATGAGCTAATGACTTTTTCAGTAGAAGAGAAAATAAGTGGCATGGACAAAACTACCATTTTGCAATTAAAAAGACTATTAGACCCTAATTTGTTATGCTAACAATAAACTAAATTTGATTCACAATGAAATATCCTAGAGGAAGAAAGATTGATTAGGATATTTTTTTATAGCACCCAGTTTAACACTATGAATCAAATTTAGTAGAGTCTAATCAATCTTTCTAATTGCAAACTCACAGTTTTGTCTATACCACTTATCTTCTCTTTTATAGAAGAAGTCAGGAGCTCATATCCTAGAGGGCACTACTAATGGATTGAAGTCTCTACACTGTCATGAAAAGTTTACAACATAATGTCTAAATAATCATTGTTGGGTACCATAATTCAAAACTAACCAACAACCTATCATTGTAGCAATACAATGTCAAGATCGGGGATTTCAAGAATGCTATTGCACCAAGGTAGACTCCACAGTTCAAGACCAAGAAGTATTTGCCAATCAAAAACATATGACGGTAAAGGCAAGCTTAACAACTAAATAAGTATAATTTGTAGGCTAAAACTAACCATTTTACTGTTTATATAAATCACAGTTAACAAGTTACAACACTAACCATAGATTTAAGGATTACAAACCACCTTTAAATCTACATGTGCTAAAAAATGGTCTTACATCATTGTTTCTTCCCTCATTGTAAGCTTCATCTATCTACCCAAGTTTACATCCTGCATGAACTACCTTTATAGGTGTTCAATTAAACATAGAAAACATGAATTTCATGATTAGTTAGGTTAATTCTAAAAAAAATTATCCACATTTCATTACCCATAAAGTAGTTTGAATTGAGTTTTTTTTTTTAATAGAAGTGTAATAAAGTAAGATTTTGTCATAGAAATTAATTACTAGAGAAGTTAGAAATTACTCAACTAAAGAAGTTTAATAGTAGTATTTTCTTTTTGGTACACGGAGACTTAGTTGCTTGGTATTATAGGAATTTAAATTCCTAAGCTTTGACTTTAAATCAAGGATTTGTAATCATTTTGTACTGAGCCTACATGCACAATTTTTACACGGTATCAAAGCCCAGATTCTGTCCTGAGAAGCCCATTGTTAGTCCACCTGACAAGACTCAAATGATTCCGGGCTTACATATAAGGGGCATGTTAAGCCACGTGACAGAACTCAACATTCATAGTGGACTTGCACGTGAGAGGACATGTTGAGTGGGAAAATCTCACATCGAATCTAAAACAAAGAAGTATGTGGGTTAAATATAAGGAGGACTACTCCACCTATTGCCAATTGATTTTAGGTTGGATACAAGTTTTATGTTGAGCCCATATACACAATTTTCACAATAAAAGTGATCACTTTTACATTTAGAATATAATTTTATTATATTATAAAAATTGTTAAAATTAATAAAAAATTTGAAATAAATATTTAATGGGCTTTTAAAAACTTTTAATAAGTTCTTTAAAAAAATCCTTTAAGATTTTCAAATAAATACTAAGGGGTCTCTCTTAAGAGTTGAAAATTTATTTTAAATTTAAAAATATAATGTTTCAATTTAAATTGTAGTATATTATCTGATTTAGCCTCAAATTCTAATTCAATTTAGCCTCAACCTTTACTCTGTGTATGTATTATATTATATATTATATATATATATACACACATATGCAAAAGATAATAAGATGAGAAGATGACCATTTTTTTCGTGAGTGTGAAAATCTAAATTTTCTCCCCTGTACTTAGCTTTTTCTCTGGGCTTTTTTTATTGTGAAATCTAATCTTATTATTTTATTATATTATAAAAACTATTAAAGTCATAATCTCAAATAAACATCCAACAAAACTTGTAGAATCCATTTAAAATCTCAAATAAATATTGAATAGATACTTAATAGGCTTTTTAAAATCGTTTTAAAATGTCAAATATATATCCTATGGTCCTTTTAAAGAAAAATCATTAAGTGGTTAAAATCTTATTAAATTAAATTAATATCTTTTCAGATTTTTAAATGAGTATGATGCATATAATTTCTTACTAAATTGATTTTCTATATAATCTTATTATATTATAAAAATTGTTAAAACTTTTAATAAATCTCCAATAATTATCCCATGAACATTTAAAATATCTCTACACTTTCAAAAAAAACCCAATGGATCTCTTAAATAAAATTAATTAAGGAAGCGAAAGGCTTATTAAATTAAATTAATACCTTTTCAAATTTCTTAGTAAACATAACACATATATATGATATAATCTTTATTAAATTAATTTTTCATATAATAATACTTAATAATATTCTAATTATATCAAACTTTTAACTAATTTTTCTCAAATTCCATTTGAGTTACCATATAATAATGTGACTTCTATATCTACAAATTATTAAAGTTGAAACTGTTGGAGCTTACCTTTTTATTTTTCAGGCGACTAATTAACTGTTGGAGCTGACCTTCATTTACAGCTGCTTTATGAATGTTTCTCCGAACAAACAAGTGAGCAGAGCATCATAAAATACAGAAATTGATCCCTAAAAGTTAATTAGTTTACATTAATTTTGATACTATTAGGGACAACTGAATATTTATTTATTAACTATTAAGATCTTAATATTAGACCGATACATATAGAGCTGCAAAGACTTTGTTTCACCATTGCATTATTCTCATAGATATGCATCATAATTTTGTTAATTCCTCGAGTCTATAATTCTTCTTGAAACGTAACACAAAATTAGGGTAATATTCTTTTTTTACCTTTTTACCTTAAGATTCTCTAGGTGTGAAAAGAAGAGGTTATGCTTCTTTATAGAGCTCATCTCAAGCGGCAGTAAAAATGAAAAATGAAAACTTATTTGTAGTTCATTTCTTGTAATTGAAGATTCTTAATAATAGTGTCCAAGCAGTTAGGAAATAGAACGAGAGAAGATTATCTCCCTATCATTGAATAATTCTTCAATATTTAATAACAAGAAAGGAAAATACTTGTTGGCATATATAAGATAAAAAGTGAAATGCAATCTAATCAGCATGAATTACACTTCACTTAATTATTGATAAAAGTAACGACCCCTTAATATGACAAACTAAAAGCAACATTTTATTTATAGGATAAATCTAATAGTGGATATTAGAAAGTCTAATTAATGGGACTCAAACCATATGGATATTCCTACAAGTTAGCCTCCATAATATGCAACAAGAGAGAGGAATTAGTGGAACTCCACTCAACCTTGATTAGCTTCTAATCATTCTGAGTTTAACAAGTTCCACATCTACAAGCAAGATATGCGATCTTGGTTCGTTTTTCCCTTCTAAAGGCTTCAGCAGTGGAAATTCCTCCCACGGATGAGGTGAAGGACAGCTATGAGGTTGAGAACTGAAGAAGATGGCCAGGGGTGAGGAGGGTGGCTCAGAGGCAATGAAACATCCTTCTTCCTTGTTCCTGAAGAAGTTATCGAGTGAATATAAGCAACCCAGAAAAATTGTTAAATACCATTAACTTGGCTAGCTTGTAAATATACTACTATAATCCTGAGCAACTCCCAGAAGATGGTCTCTGCAAATCCCTCAGTGTCAATCAGCACTTCTACCAAATGTGGAAAGGGGGCAAGGTTCCCGGGTGTTGAGAGTGCATGCTTTAGAATTTCCTGATGAGGCATACTTTGACTGACCGAGCGAATAAGCTTCAGCAGCATGCTAATTGCACCTGCTGCAACAATTTCTTTGTGACAATATTTTGAAATACATTTTAAATAAAAAAATGTCTATTGTTTTAGGGCGGAAGGAGTATTATATTACTTACTATTATTACAATTCAATAACATTTTGTGTAAATTAAATATTGACTAATATTATTTTTTTGTATCAAAATAACTTTTTTTCTTTTTTCTTCAAATTAAAGATTTAAAAATAAAATTTGTTTTTACCTATAATACTCTTAAAAAAATAAAGGATAAAAATACATTTTTTATAATAAGATGATTAATTAAAATAAATAAATAATAAGATTAAAGTAAAAAAATATATTTATCTACTTTAAAAAAAATAAAAATTAATTTAAAATAAATTTAATTAAAGTAAAAAAATTATAATATAGTTACTATTTTGGAATAGAGGAGTAGTAATTACTCCATCTTCACTTGTATTCTATAAATAATAAATTATATAATGTAGTCTACCCATTCACTCCTCCATTACCCATCCAGTTTAAAACGGGTTAAGGTCAGATATTTATGATTCATTATTAACATGTTAAAAGAAAACAATGGATCATGAGTTAATAATGAGTTGACCTACTAGGTTAACAAGTTTAACCCGTTTATCCAATTAAAAATTTTTTAATTTATTATTTATTTATTTTATTTTCCAATTCTCAATCTCATATAAACCTCTAATAATTGACTAATTTTCTCTAATTAGCTAATTGATTCTCTTAGTAAAAATAAATGTGTGGTGTTCTCAAATTTGATGAGCATTGTTTTTTGAAGGGAAGTAGAAAAAGTGATTATGAAGAACTATAAATATGTTTTATTAAATTAATGGGAAAGAAATCTTTTTATAAGATGTTAAATTTTATTTTTAAATTTTATTTTTAAATCTTCTGAATAATTTTCTTTTGATAATAATAGGTACAAATTATATAGGAAAAAAGAAAAAAAATTCAATTGGGTTGACCTGTGATCCATAATGACCAGGTTAAGATTAGTTTTCATTAATCCGTGACCTATTTTAACCCAATCAATTTTGACTCGTGACTGGTTCTCATCGGACCATAACCCAACCCACCCTGGCTGTTTGCCAGGTTATGGGCCCAATCGAGCCTAGTCCGCGGCGTTAATTTCTTTTGGTAGCTAGGTGAGAGTGTCCTCGGTCCAGCTTTGACTCTGCATTCGCCTTTATTATTTGCTTGTAGGTAGAGGATTGACTGTTGACTGAAATTATGGCTAAAAGATTGCATTTAGAGTGAATTGCATCCAATTTCCCAGTTGGACATGATAACTCAAGTTATTTATAAGAGCTATATTTGTGTCATTTTCTTTTAGGCAATGTCAAGCTGATGCAGCGTTTCTATCCCCTCTCCACTGATGCGGAGACAATATGGCGCATCCTTCTTCATCCAGAATGTTGTTATGCTGCAACCTCCATTGTTAGTAATGTTAATCTCCCTCAATAATCTTTTAGCTTGTTACTTTATAGCCTTAGCTTATGTACAATACGCACTGCATACATTTTTTTTCTTTTTGGTTAATTAATTCTCATACATTAACCATGCAAGAGAGAGAATTTTTAGTGTGATTCATGATTCATATTTGTTAACATATTTTAGGTAGATAGGAAGAGAAATTGGAAAAAGTGTTTTGAGCCTATTTGTGTTGAACAAAGCAAAAAATCAAATGGAAGGATAAATGAACAAAGCATTGGTGGACAATCCCCTGAATATTCGGTGGTATGGTCTTCAGTTGGGCCAAATTTTATTTTTCATGTCTTTAAGTCAGTGGTGTTTTCCATCATCCTCATAGTTATTCCTCTTTTTTTCTTTTAGGTGACAGTGTTGGTGGCCACCAACAGATCACAAATTGCCTGCAATCAATTGTCTTGCAGACCTTGAGAAAGCCTTTTCCTGTTTGAAATCTGTAAGTGGCACTGACATTGCGGTATGTGGATGTGCATTCTTATTTTGTTTTTCACTCACTCAGATATTTTGTTTCTTTTTCTTTTCTTTTTTATTGGACATTTTGGATCATCTTACTAACATTGTCTTAATTTATCGTTTAGGCTGTCAAGGTTTTCTGGACTAACCAAGTTTGAATGGAGGAACTGGTTGAAGAATTTCCACAGCTTAAGCCTTTGCAGGTAAAAATATTCAAACATGCATTATTGGTCAGTTAAATGGAACGAGGAACGAAGAAAGAACTAATATAATGTTATATACTGTTTAATCATTTTTAATCCTTTCCCCTCACAATGCAGAGTCAACAACCACCATTCATTCCCCCGGCCATCCACTTCAAGCCCCCAGCTCTCTCCAGTACTCAACCTCAGTGTCAGGAGGTGAAACTGGTTGAAGAACTCCAGAAGCTTAATCCCTTGGTGGTAATGTTCAAAAATGCCTTATAACTTTATTCAAGTGGAATGAGGGAAAAAAGAATTAATATGACATATATTGGTTGCTCATTTGGCATCCCCCTCTTCTCACAATGCAGATCCAGCAACCACACCCTGAACTGCTACATAGGCGCGGTCTACATAGGGTCAACTACTCTTTCTCTCCTTTGTTCTATTTCAACTAAACCCATTTGATTGAATCTCTTTTGTTTTTGAAC